CCATCACCTTGCCGTAACCCCCTTTGAGATCCAAAAGGACTCGAGGGTGTCCCCGATACTCGAACAACGCACAACACTCGATCCATCGTCACCTTGACCAGTCGCGTCAGTTTATCCGGAAATCCGTACTCGTGCATAATCTGCCATAGCTGATCTCGATCGATTGTGTCGTATGCGGATTTGAAATCGATGAACAAATGATGTGTGGGCACGTTGTATTCGCGGCATTTCTGCAGAACCTGCCGAATCGCGAAAGTATGGTCCGTGGTAGCGCAGGCACCCATGAATCCCGCCTGGTATTGCCCCACGAACTCTCTTGCAAATGGTGACAGGCGGCGGCATAGAATTTGGGAGAGTACCTAGTAGGCGGCGCTCAGCAGTGTGATCGCGCGGTAGTTGCAGCAATCCAACTTGTCGCCCTTTTTGTAGATTGGGCATACGACGCCTTCCATCGACTCCTCCGGTAATATCTCTTTCTCCCAAATATTGGCAATTATCCAGTGCAGCGCTCTAGCCAGTGCTTCACCACCGTATTTTAATAGCTCACTTGGCAGTTGGTCTACACCAGTTGCTTTGTTGTTCTTCAGCCGACCGATCTCCTCCTCAACTTCTTGAAGATCAGGGGCCGGTAGCCTGTCGTCTTCTGCGCGTGCTCCAAGGTCTGTTGTCGTGGCATCTTCATTTTCTGCTGCTTCACTGTAGAGGTGCTCGTCACTCGTTCGTGAGAAGGTTACCATCCAAGTCCTTGCACATATCGGCTTGCGGCACATAGCCTTTGCGCGAACTATTTATCTTCTCGTAGAACTTCCGTGTGTAGTTTACGCGGCACAGATTTTCCATTGCCTCGCGATCTTGGTCGCTTGACGCTTTTTCCTTCGGAATACCGAGTTTTGTCTGTTCCGCGCTTGTCTGTATCGCTCCACATTCACAGTTTGCATTCACCGTCAAACCAGTCATTTCTTCGGTCCGGGATTGCAGTACCTAGTGCCGCTGCAGCAGTACTACCTATGGCGGAACGGATGTCCCTCCAGCCATCTTCAAGAGAAGCTGCGCCAAGCTGCTTTTCCGTGGGTAGTGCAACTTCCAGCTGCTGCGCGTAGTCCTGGGCAACTCCGGCGTCCCGTAGTTGCTCAATGTTGGGTCGCGCCGTTCGACTTCGACGTGTGTTATGCACCGTCGAGAGTTTTGAGCGCATGCATACTGCAACTAATAGCGAATTTGTTTATTATCCAGGTTGGAACCAGTTCCAACCCGTGCGAACCTGAGCTTATTGTGAGTGCAAACCTCAACCTGAGCCAGGTTACAAAAACAAACGTTTACACTGACGTTTGACAGTCAACAAGTAGACCCAATCTTGATACCCGATCCAGGTTGCAACTGAATCAAAAACAAATTCGCTATAAGTAGTGGTCCGAATCTATGTTCGCACTGCGGTACGTGCGGATGTTGATAGTGTCGAAGAATAATTTCCCGTCGATTAGAACGTGATCGATTTGGTTTTCTGTGTGTTGGTCAGGTGATCTCCAGGTGGTTTTGTGGATATTCTTGCGGGGGAAGAAGATACTTCGAGCTACCATACCCCGAGAGGCTGTAAAGTTCACGCATCGTTGGCCGTTGTCGTTCGATACGGCATGCAGGCTGTTTAGCCCGATTGCCGGTCTATACATTGCCTCCCGTCCTACCTGAGCGTTCATGTCGCCGATGACGATTTTGACGTCCCGTTGCAAACAGCCATCGTACACCTGCTCCAGCTGGGCATAGAACGCTTCTTTCTCGTCGTCGGGTCTACCTTCGTGTGCGCAGTGCACGTTGATCGGCTGCCAACCAATCACGCGTTGGCGCATCTTACCCAGCACTACAAAGCCGGTTTCCAGCTTGTTGGTGGTGCCACAGCTCTGGTAGAAAATAGCCGCTCGATGCCCGCTTGTCCATACCTTTTGTCCCGTCCAGTGCAGTGCTACGACTTCAAAGTTGCGTGGTTGAAGTTCGTCATAGATTAACCTATCGCAGCCCGGGAAGCCAAGCGATTTGCAGTTCCATGTTCCGAGTTTTCAATCCTAGTCCTTATTTCGTCGCGTGGGTCTGTGCCGATTGTTCCGATCCGGATTTCTTTCTTCAGTATTTGCAACTTTGTTTTTTTTTTTGTTTGGCCTGCCCCAACCCCCGTCTCGCCGGGGGACCATCGTACACAGCTCTGTTTAGAGTCCCACGCTGGTACTAGGACGGTGATTAGCCGCTCCTAACATGGAGAACAGACGCCGTTGTGAGCCGCACATCCATGGTGAACAGACGCTCAGGTTTGGTGAAGCATTTCCTCTATCACCGTACTATGGTTACCGCGTCAGTGTTCGCGTCGCACCTCTTCACTTTGCTATTGCCGGACTGGCAACATTGCCCAGGCTACGCCACCCAACTGTGCCCATGTTTCAGCTGGGAGTCTTTTGTTATCATATGACTCGAGGAGGCGTGAAGTAGGGACTTGTGAGGACCAGGGCTAGGTATTCCGCTCCTTCCAGGTTGTCAACTCACCATTTTGTAGCCCAAACTGGTACTTGACTGGTACTTGCCAATTTTCCCGGTAATCAACCAAAACAAGCCAGGGAAGATACGTATCGTGTTCGATGCGGCAGCGAGAGTTAACGGTGTCTCTTTGAACTAATTTCTCCTAACGAGACTGGATCAGTTGGTGTCGTTGCTTAGCGTGCTCTTCAAGTTGGATCAACGGAGATCCTGGTGAAGAACCGAAGGTGTACGTGGTGCAAGTAATGACGTTTGGTGCAGCATGTTCACCGAGCTGCGCGCACTACGTTAAGAACCAGAATGCGGACAGATTCGTTGAAGATTATCCAAGGGCAGTCGAGTGCATCAAACACGAACACTACGTCGATGACATGTTGGCCAGCGTTTAGACTGAAGAGGAAGCGGTGAAATTAGCGTGCGAAGTCCGATCCATTCACTCACAGGGTGGCTTCGAAATACGTAACTGGTTGTCGAATTCATCAGTAGTCGTCAAACGTCTACACGAAACCAGTATCACAGAGAAGGACATGAGCCTTTGGGCGGACATGGCAACGGAAAAGGTGCTGGGCATGTGGTGGGATACTGCCACCGATTCGTTTACGTTCCGAATGTCACCGAAGCACAACGTGGAGTTGCTTTCCGGAAGCAGGATGCCTACCAAACGGACTCATCTCCAACTTCCTCATCTACCTGAAGATCCTACTGCAGGAAATCTGGCGTGCTGGATACGGCTGGGATGATGAAATCAACGGGAAGCTAGCCGCAAGATGGATAACCTGGGTGGAAGCGTTGCCGAACGTCCGACAAGTGAGCGTACCTCGCTGTTACCGCAATGCAACGTCTGCCGAATCTACGAATACCGTGGAATTGCATATTTTCTGCGATGCGAGCGAAAACGGAATGGCTGCCGTGGCTTACTTCAGGTTCGAAGAAGAAGGAAATACGGAGTGCGCGCTCGAGATATTTTTATGACAGGTGGGCAGGAACTCACGGTCTCCCAGTGTTGGTGAGTTCTTTGCCGTTAATGTTCATATTTTGCCATACAGAAATTCAAAACAAATTTTTTTATGGGCGGATTTGGACAGTTTTCGACCAGTTTCATATGGCCGGAAGGTGTATGCTGGTCACAAATGCCGTGCCAAACTGATTTCCTACGCAATTAATCAATCTTTGATGTGAATTTCGCTAATGAACACGAGGAGCATTTCTTATAGCAAACTTGCCATAACAAAATGGGCATGGTTTATTTAATGAAAACAAACTAACACTTCTTCCTATTGTGTCACCTATGTATTAGGCGCCTAGGTGCGCGCTGGTTGGCTCAAAAACAAAGGTTGCCCCTTTGAAATTCCTCTCGGTCCCGCGACGTGAATTGCAAGCGGTACTCAGGTAACTCAGGTAATCATGATAGATATTGACACAGTAGATCTCTTTTTTATTTCATTCGCGTTGTTTTCAAAAATCAAAACGTCATGATTACCTGAGATTTGTCAATGTTATATATTTGATAACGGCACAAAAGCATTTGTAAACAAACTTTCTAAGGCCCTTTACACGCGAACCAAAGTACGCCCACGCAAACCAATACCACTTTCGGAAAGGTGATAGTTGCCCGATATCCGATGATGTTGTTGGTTTGCGTGTAAAGGGCGTTAGAAAGTTTGTTTACAAATGCTTTTGTGCCGTTATCAAATGTTATGCTTGATATGTTATATATAAATATTTACACGTCGTGCGGTGAAGAATAACACTTGACCCTTCAGGCTTTAGATCAAAGATCCGTTTTTCATGTGGTGTACGAAAAATGTAAAAGGTGAAACTAATAGAATCAACTCTGTGATCGAAGACAACCCGTTTAACGGGTAATTTCCAATTCAGTCCATACTATTTGATGCAGTACCATACTATGACAGAAAGATCTAAATAATTATAAAACTTGGACTCCTTTTTTACCCACAGGTTGCTTAGACTAGTTAATGTACAATATTCGACACCCAGTAGACCAGTAGGCCATTTTATGTTTATGAAAGATTCATCCGGCTGAATTGGCAATCAAAGCTTCACTTCGTGGCACTCCAGCACAGTTTACCTAAGCTACGAGTAACTCTAATATACACATGACCACTACGGGAAGATAATCAAGATTAATGCACGATGCCAAAACATGCTTTAATTATGTCACTCAAATAAAATTTTTAATGCGTCACTTTTTTAAGCCATAGGATACTGGAATCCATATTTTTCCTGTGTCGCACATCATGAACATTTGTCTGCAAACAGGTTGCCAGCTAAAACAGCAATGACCAAAGTAGTCAAAAGAGCAGCCCGAATAGTAATGCACCGTTACGGTTGCTCTTGAAAATGTGTTAAAGTGACTATGATAAAACAAATCCTGTTCAATTGTTCAATTTAAACATTACTGTTTCTCTTTGCGTACCTCAACGGTAAATTATCAATATTTCCCATTTCTTATTTTCCAGGTGGAGATGCTGTATCAGCGTTACTTTCTCCGGATGAACCAGAACAATGCGGTGCACATCGTATGGCTACTCCTAGGATTAATCTTCATCTTAGCGTTAATACATCTCGTGTTCACCTTTATCCTGCAGCAGTCGCTGGACAGTTGCCCCGGTTACGCCATCGATCCACTAGGTGAGTCCATCTTGAATGCGGAATGTGCTGATAATTTAGGGCACGCCCGAGTAAATTCAATGAGATTCGTGTAGTTCCCTCCTGTTCAGAATTATTCCTATGGATGATTAAAAACATCTCTTTTAACATAAATCACTTACTAACTATAAATGGTAGAATTTCGAATAGGAAAATTGTGTCAAGATAAATGAGACGAGTGTCACTTATAATATGAAATTTATTAAACTGCCCTGTTGACGAAATTCCACATGCCCTCATCCCGACACATGTCAAATAACAATTTTAGTTTTAAGAACAATCTGTATACATGACTTAGACTTGCTTTGTTTTAAATTGAAGTATTTTAAATTAATTTGATTGTTACTGTGGGGGAAAATAATTGAAATCTACCTATATGATTCAGAATTGATGGATAAGCGTTTTAGTAGAATAAGTGCATACCTTATTACGAAATAAGGTATATATGAACCACTTGCATCAAATATTTTGAAAATCTTATAATATTTAGGCATAGACCAGGTTGCAAGTGGATTGCTTTGAGATTCCATCTCAGTATTACCGGATATACCGATTTATCTGTATATGTACCGATTTTTGAACTTGGTACCGATATACAGGTAAGCTTCTTGGGTTTATGAGATTTTGTACCAATTTATTTATGTATTTATTTATTTATTCAGTTATCGACGATTTTGCACAGACTAATCTTAATCGATCCTATTGACTCTAAACATATTTTTAAAACACAGCCTAGTAATATTAAAATCGAAGTCGTTACAATCAGCATTACCCAACAAACAATGTTAGCTGCAGACTAGCTTAATAAGCCAAGGCTGTATAAACTAATCTTTAGCTAAATTTTTTTATTTGGGTAAAAGCTCTAAGGCAGGAACGTAGCGGATTATTAAGCCTATGACTGGGCATGACGATAAGGACAGAGTAACGTAATTGGCGATGAGGTGCGTTGAGCAAAACTTCTTGTACAAGCACTGGGCAGTCGGTGTTGTTCATCAGGATGTCGAATACACGGCTGGTTTCTCCTCGGACACCAAGCCTAAGCAGAATAAAACCGAAATACAAACTGTCGTAGATGAAAACAAGTTGAAGCAGCAGTTGTCAAATCAACACATTCATCACGCTGGAGCATCAATCCCAGACCACCAAAAGTCAGCCGATCCCGGTGGTTTTAGCTTCGGGAAATTCTTCTGGAAAGGGAAAGCAACCACCCCTGGTGGTCAAGAACATCGATTTCGCAATCCTTGTTGAAAAAATGTGTTTGTGCTACGTCACGCCGACGTACAAATTCACCCGATTTGGTACCAAAATCAATTCAACCAGGTTGAAGCGGTGTGGTTATGAATATTACACGCACGATAAGCCAAATGAACGGCCCTACCGGGTTGTTCTTCGTGGTCTTCTACTAGTTGAACCAAAAGAGCTCCTGGAACGTTTGAAGAAGGAATACAACCTCTTCGTCAGGCGGCTCACATCATCAAAAAGAAGGGGGAGTGAAATCTTCGAAGAATCTTTCTACTTAGTGCACTTTGCCAAGGGGTACACCAACCTCAAGAACATGAGAGACGTGAAACACGTTGCGCACATCATCGTGCGGTGAGAAGCCTACCGCAACAAGCGAGCCGACGTAACGCAGTGTTTGAACTGCCTTTATCACGGCCACGGACCTCGAAACTACCACCTGAAGAACAGATGTAGCAACTGTGGTGAAACCCACGCTGACAAAAAGTTCACCAACGAAACGATGCGCCAACTGTGACGGCACTCATCTGGCTACAGATCGTAGCCGACTACACATAGACAACAAGCAACAACCTCGAACCACCCGGGTCGGAAGGAGGTCAGAAAAGGTTCAGCTGCACCTGCGCTGACCATGAAGGATTTTTCTGCGCTACCGAATAGCTCGGTACCCGCCGGAGCATCACATTTTGTGGGCTCACAGTCCGCAGTCGACGCTGGGATCAACCAAGAAAAGCATGAACGTAGTATCCATTCTCGCACCAGAGCGGGTATAAATGCTACATCAACGGGTTCACCTCCCGAGGAAAGCGAAGAGGAGCCCTACAGTTCTGGCCAGCTATGGTCCATCTTTACCGAGTTCTGCAATCGTTTGAAGCAATGCTAAACCCGTTCGGATCAGGTCAAGACCATAGGCTACATGGTCTGCCAATATGGGGTCAACTGAGTCGAGCGAAAAAGATTGAGTTGAGCAACTTCCTTACACCACAAAACATCGGCGTAGGAGTTATCTCCAAAACCCGACTTAACCATCATCTGGCTAGATCGCCCCAACTCAAGCGGTGGCGGTGTGGCTATGTAACTCGGCAATGTGTAGAAAGTAATGGCAAATCCAAACTCTTCGCGGAAGATCTCCAAAATCTCACCGACAACAGAACCGGCTTTGTGGGGGCAGGTGACCTCCACGCGCGCCATACCCTGTGGGGAAATCATAACTGCAACAAAAACTGTGTCCTCCTGGCAGACCACCTCAGTTCAGGTACGTGTACCATCCACTTTCCAGACGAATCCACGTGCCTCTCCCCAGCTGGAATAAAATCCACCCTGGACATATTCCTGTCTGACCTGGCACTTTCGAAACCAGTCACCTCCCACGAAGTGAGCCTCGATAACTATCCGACCCAACATTTTTGATTTTCGAAGCGACCACTCGAGACCGTTCGGGAAGGTGGCCAAAATCATGGAGAAAATGCCAACAGTATTCATAACGGAGCCCCCGTCGGAGAAGGTCAACGCAATCGCCAACAAACTCATCGAACTACACAACCACGAACGGTGCAGGCATGGTGAGTCCCCACGAAGATGCAGTGCAACGAACAATCAACCAACTTGACGAACATGCCGACGTGTAGCAGTAATGCAGCACACTATTCGAACGACTTATTCTCCAGCATCTGATGGAACACGTCGAAGAACACCACGTCATCATACCGGAGCAATTCGACTTTCGGGAGGGGCATTCTACCGTACATCGAGTACATCTTTCAGGTGCCACCTCAGAACTCCACGAGGTTTCAGCGGGTGTGCCTCAAGGTAGCCTCCTGGGCCCCATGCTATACAACATTTACACCTCCGACATTCCACAGCTCCCTGTTGACTGCAGCCTGGTGCTGTACGCAGATGACAGTGCCATCATGGCCAACGGTCAGACTCCTATGCACTACCGGTCTCGGCTTCAACAAGATGTAACGGTGTGTACGTCTCGTACCTGACCAGTTGGAAAAGCAAAGTGAACGAAACCTAGAGTCAAGCCATCCTTTTCCGACATCGACCATCACCAAAGCTACTACCTCCAACTGACTGCTTCATCCGAGTGAACGGCAGCCCCGTTGTTGACTGGTCAAAGGAAGTCAACTACCTTGACTTTACCATCGACGACAAGCGACTCTATCGTGCCCAGAACAGGTGAATTGGGCTACTGAAATCGTTATACCCGTTGATATCCCGACGGTCCCGGTTGTCACGACGGAACAAATTGGCAGTTTACAACGTGATTATCGCCCTGGAAGTCAATTATGCTATGCCGGAGTGAGGTACGTGTGCCGAGACCCACAAGAAAAAGCTGCAAGTGGTCCAAAATCGACTGCTGTGGGCTATCCTGGATGCCCCATTCGACAAGAGGATAAGCGAGCTGCATCGCACAGAATGCTACATGGCGAACGAGGACTCAGTATAGGAGTAATATCAATAGACTGAGTGAATCCAATTTTTACTTTCGGGCAGTTTGGGCAGTTTTTCCTGGACAAACACGGAAAAACATGAGGGTAATTTATTCATCGCTGAGTTCCTGCACTTTTTGCTTGATCGGAGTGATAGAATGTAAGAAACGGCTAGCTCACCGGTACTCTTACCTGTCTCTAGGGCGGCTCATCCACTTATTCGGAGGACTCACAACCCAACACTAAAGCGAAGTGGACAACACAGTTTCCTAAGTCGACATGCATGGGCTCGTGTAGTTTCAAAAGAATAACATACAAAATAGATATCATTTTCTTAAATTTTATTGAGGGACAGATCACACAAAGGGGATGGTACCGGTGCGGCCGATCTGCAACGTTGGGGCCCTTGGTTACATGCGGAGAGATAGGAAGGAGGGTTCTGTTTCATACCTGTTGCCCTGCAGGGGCTTGGAAGGAAGAGTAGAGCTGTTCGAGGTTAGGTGCTGTCCACGAAAATCGATCGCAGCGATTAAGCGGGGGCGAACCCTCCGGACCTCACTGTACTTCTGCCTCAGAAACGTCCGTTTCACCAAACCGAACGCGTGTGGCACAACGATAGTAAGGGGGTCTCGTTGGCCACTGGCTAGCCCGTCTCGTACGTCGGAGATCAGGATGATGGAAGGGTCTTCGTCGTGTTGTTGTACCGTTCTCCTGCACTTCTCACGCGGCCGGGATGTGGTTCTCCGTCCTCAAAAATCCTTGGGACACTTGATCTTGGCCGGCGGAGCCGGAGACGTGTCGTAGTCACGTGTTCACCCAACCTACGACGCGGGGATGCTTCTGTTCTGTCCTGCCGCATGCTCTAAACTTGACTGGCGTGGCTGGGAACGGGTTCAATGTTCCGGAATACGTGGGGTAGCCGCACTGTCTGACCCGGAACCACGAGGATACTCAGAAGTCGTCCGTTCGTTCAAAAACATGAAGCAGTGGCTTCTGCCGGTAAAACGTGGCTACCTCGCAGCGGGTAAAAAGTGGCAACTGCTGGCCTTGTAACACGACTGGTTCGGTAACAGGAGAAACTCGCTGATCGTGTTCTTCACCGAGGTCACAAACGCGGTGGAATACACTCGCGGTCGGTCTCAAGAGAGAAAAATACTCGATATTTTACACAGTTACTTCTTGACGTCTTCACTGGTCGGGCATCCAAAATCCACTGGCTGGTCTCCCTCTTTCCTTCCTCCTCTTTCCTTTCTCATTATCCATTATCTCGATCTCGATGCGGCGAAATCGCTTTTCGCCCGAAGCGGT